ATCCTGGGCCCGGCCAACGTCCCGGACATCCCCCGGCGCCGCTCCTCAGGCCGCATAGCGTATGACGCCAGGGACGTGAGGCGGCGGCTGCGGGAGCTGAGCAGGGAGGTGGAGGCCCTGTCCCACTGTTACCCCCTGGGCTCCGGATCCAGCGCTGCTGAGGGGACGGACAAGGACTGGGTATACCGTTCCATGAAAGAGAGGTGACTGGGAGAAGAATAAAAGAAAGAGAGGAGGTGGTTTGTGGTGGTGTGGGGGGGGTGCCAGGGCCCACACAACACCCAGAAGCCTGGTTGCTAAGGAAATGATCTCCCTGGCAACAGGGCCTAGAGAGCCCTGAGGACCCTCATCAAACCTCTTGGCCTCAGCAGGCCCTGTCCTCATCTCTCTCCCTGGCCCTTCTTGGTTCCAAGGCTCCCACTTGCCTCTACTCTTTTCTTTAGTGCCCAGAGAGGCCCCCCAAATTCTGCTCCAGACCCCCAGGCAGTATTGCACTAGAGGGGAGGCCCTCATCTCCATGGACCCTGCCCCTCAGGGGTCTGGCTCCTGCCAGAGCCCAGGTTTAGGCTGCAGCTACAGGTTAGGCATGGTTTTCTCTTAAGCCCTGGTTTCTCTGGGAAGGGACGGCTGAGAGTGAGGGTACCCAGGCCCTCACAGTTCCTCGGTCAGAACCCAAAGCTCCTGTACCCTTGAGCAAGCTCAGAGCGGAGGATGAAGTATTGAGGACACTCAAGGGCTGCCTCATCATAACATCACCACCCTCTGTGACCTCACACCCCTGATTAGCACCTCTGTGTCACAGATGACAAAACTCAGGTTCAGAGAGGCCATGTGACTTATTCGTGGTCACACAGACAGCAAGGATCAACCTCATGGCCTCAGATGCTCTGTTCCCCTGGTCCCACAGGTAGATTCCCAGTGCCACAGAGTCAGCCTGGCCCAACAGAGTCTCTGCCTTCCTCAGTTTCCCATGTGAACGCATCAGAATATTCCATCCACTGGACAGCAGGGAAACCCAGGCCCTACCCCACTTCTAGACATCACATGCATGCACACAACTTGGGAACAAGGAGCCAGGCCAAAGGGCTAGACCTCATCACCTTCGATACCAGATGGGTTCCTGGAATGTGAGCAGACAGGCTTTTTATGAATCACCCTGCTTCTCTGTTCATTTTCATGCAACTAACATTATTGATCATTTTAAGCTGATTCCATTAAGTGGATATATATTGGGCACCTACTATGTGTTTGGAGGCTTGATAGGGAAATGCCCACTGGCTGTTCCTCTCTTTCAGCTGGGTTGTTCATTGAGCAAACAAAATGACTTGAGGTCCCCCAGGCATCCTTTCATAGACCCCAATGATGAACCTGATTTCAACCAAAGACTCCTTTTGTCATATCAACAATTACATCTGCTTTGTGAATTACATGTGGTTTTCTTCAGATGGCAGCTGTTTTTTAGCTTGGAGGGGTGGCTCAGTGGGAGGGCTGTTGGTTAGGAAGGCGAGAAACCATGGTTGGAGATGGTCCCTGGCAAAAGCAGCAACCCCAGGCATGTGGAAGTCAGTCTGGCTCTGAAGCAAAGGGGCCAGTAGGCTCAGTGACCAACATCTGAGATGATGGGATGGGATGATGACAGGGAAATGGGCAGAACAGGGAGGGACTGTGCATCAGAGCGACCCCAGAGGGGACTCTTGCTATCATCCATCCATCTAGTCACCCTAGCTGCTGGCCCCAAGCAGGTGTGGGTGGGGAGTCCCAATAGGCTATTTAAGTTGCCGTGAAGTTTCAAAAGAACAATGAATTGGACGAAATCCTTTATGCATGATTTAATCCCTGTGAAGACTGTTTCACAACTGGAGCTACCATGTTTTCAAATGGAGTTAGGCAAACCCCTGGGGAGACAGAGGGACAGATGGACTGAACACTAGGATATTTGGGGATTGGGCTCCACTGTGTGGGAGCCAAGGGCAGAGATGGCCATATAAAGGGCCAGCTAATTGAAAGATCTGCCATTTCTGCATTGTGACTCCCTGCAGCGTGCCTCATTATGACCCCATTCCCTCACTGGTTGTCCCCAGGTGTCCCCAGGTCCTGGCATGAGTGCAGTGTGGGTCAGGGCGGGTGGGGGGGCGGGTGGCCCAGGTGGCCCTAAGACCCCCCCACCATGGGAAACCAGCTCTGGTATGACAACCTGGGGTGCTGCCATCAATACCAAGAAAGTAGCCAAAATGCCGAGGACTTCCTACTCCTGCTGTGGTCTCGTCATTCTTGTCAACATTGGGATCGA